TGTGTGTGTGTGTTGTCATGTTCGATAACACAACTCCAGAGAAAAAAGCATGACTGTGCCACACTGTTCCGTCAGACTTTCACCGATCGCATCAGGGGTTGTCTGTGTGTGGGTGAGGGTGTGGGTGTGCGTTGTAGATTTTCACCACAGTAGCCCCTGTTCCACCCAGATGAGTAGATCCAATATCTATGCAGCTTTACCTCTATTGCAGACAATGATGCACACTTGAGGTAAGCCAGTATGTACGTGTGTGTGCTGTAGACTATCACCAGAACAACCCCTTTTCCACCCATGAGGAGATCCAAAATTAAAACAGCCGTGCCTTATAATCTTCTATCAAGTTATATGAACTTTATGAAGTTTTATAATATTTGATATTCTACTGTTTTCTACATGATTTTTGTGTTTCGATTTTTTTTTTCTTTTTTTTTTTTGACAGTTAATTCAAATAGTTCCATCTCGATTCGAACTCAGGTCTGTATTTTAACAGTTCATTAGCTGTACTGACTGGGGTAGGCCCGTTGTTATGTTTTGACTTTTTTTTTTTTTTTTTTTTTTTAAAATTGTAATGTTATGCAGGGAAGATGAGCAATAGCGAACTTCAGCAATCAAACAGCGTCATACACATGAGACCAGATAGTCGTGACCTCGAACCAAAAGCAGAATTGCATCACAAGTTTCACCAAATAAGAGCTCACCAAAAGCTCATAATTGACAATGCTGGAATAGTCTCATCATCATCAACGAAGAACCAATGTTGATATCCTATCTGGCGCTCGGCGCCCAGACTACGAATGGCAGATCCTATCTAGCCTAGACTACAATGCCGCTGATAACGTCAACAGCTTCCCAAGTACGAGCAGACCTCGGCCAATGGCGCACGCGTCAAGCACCAGGTATGTCTCTCGTATCACTCACAACCTCGTTCCCCAACTCACAGATGCCACTTGCACCCAAGGACCACCATGTGCCCCATCCAGCATACAGCAGTGCAGCTTGGCTATGGCTGCCTGCTCCTTCCAGCTCGCCCGTGAGCGCGTGAGCCTGGCAGGCGATAGCGCAGCAGCGCTTGCGCACAAAGCAGCCAGTGCCCGAATGACCAATGCGTAGGCAGACCCTTCCCTATATCGAAGTGGCCTGCTGCTGCGTGCTGTGCTGCGGTACTGGGCCCCGGCCCAGAAGCTTCCGGTAGGCCCAGGGAGGCTGAGCCTCAATCCGAAGTCAACAGGCCCAGGGCCTGTGGTGGTTACCAGCACCCAACTGCCCTCAGCCTTTGTTCGGTCCATTTTGTGTATCCGGCCCAGGGCCTGCCTCAGTTACATGCAATGCGAGGGAGCCTGGGCCTGGGCGCTTCCAACCAACCGGCGCTGCGCAACTGCCTGAAATTTCCCCAGTTGCGTAGTGACCCCAAAATGGCCTGAGGGCCTCGGTCGTGCCTGCCTTCACTTAGGGCGGCCGACTGAGCGAAAAATAGGCCCTGTAAAGCAAATTGAGGGCCTGTGCCTCGCAGTTAGATGAAACGGCAGTTTATTTCTGAAGGATGCAAGGCTGTATACATCATGTCTGTGTACTCAACTGTGGGACGCGTACACACCCGTTCGGTCTGAACCACACCCCGCATGGCCCCCACCTTATATTTTGTCTGTCCGCAGCAACCCCCTTTCCCACTTACTGACCCTTACCGTATGATATTTTAATCGAAAAATAATTCTGACAGGTGCAAGGCCTACATGTCTGGAGAATCTCGCGGATGTCGAAGACCTGATGAGTAAGACCTTGCTGCAGCGCTGCTGGGATGGGCTGAATGTCACAGCCGTTACAGCTTCAGTTTTGAAGACTGGGTCACGGTTGCAATGGTAAATGCATCCGGCTGTTATGGCCGAGGTCACCGGTCCGATTCCGTCTGGCTGCGTATCGGTCAGGGCCCAGCAAAACGATCTACAGTGTACAAGCATAGTAACCAGCCAAGAGAAGGCACTCGGATGATGGTGTCTACGTAGATGCTGCTGCCTGCAGAGGGTCTCACGGATGTCGAAGAGCTGACGAGTAAGATCTTGCTGCAACCATGCTGGGGTGGGCTGAATGTCACGACCGGTATGGCTTCAGTTTTAAACACCAGGTCACGGTTGCAATGGTAAAGGCATCCGGCTGTTATGGCCGAGTTCACCAGTCCGATTCCGTCTGGCTGCGGATCGGTCAGGGCCCAGCAAAAAACTATCGACCATGTCTGCAAAGTGTTCCACCAATTTACAGAGAAATTGAGAGAATTACAGAATTTCATTATTGGTATATCTATAAGACCTATACAAACAAAAAGGGAAGCTACATCCGGAGGACTCGTACACACCACTTTCCCTTTCAGCTCACTTGCACCTAAAATTTTATAACTGCCCGTGGGTCTGTCTGTTGGTCTCTGTGTATGTGATGCATACTCATCTGAAGGTGAGTGATGCAGGAAGAACCAAACGAACAGCAAAGTCATGATAAGGACTCAGACATACAATGCAGCAGCAATAAACAATTCGTGTCCATACAAATCACGAAAGAATGCAGTGTAGCACAGCGGAAGACTTATAGATATGACCTGACACATCGGAGTCAGACTCGACTCACACCAACATCATCACACATGTCACACAGTGAGGAGGGAGATCATACACAGAAGAAAGGTCCCTCCTTGTGCATACACATGGGGGAAGAAACCACGGATGACGAAGGGAGGGAGGAGAGACAAAGATGGAAAGGGGAGAGAAGACAAGAGTCCAGCTCGTAGTTGTCCAAAAATAGCCTCCCCGTCAGTGTCCAAAATAATGTCTGCCCTCAACTTGTCGAATCAGATCCTGGGCGCTCAAGGCCCGTCAATAGTCCCTGCCTGTAACCTCTCTCTCTCTCTCAAGAACAAGAAGACGATGAAGAAGAAGAAGAATGGTGGCTATGGAGGGTCATAGGAGAATCAGGAGCAGAGGAGGAGGAGAAGAAGATCTCTCTCTCTCTCTCTCTCTCTCTCTCTCTCTCTCTCTCTCTCTCTCTCTCTCTCTCTCTCTCTCTCNTCTCTCTCTCTCTCTCTCTCTCTCTCTCTCTCTCTCTCTCTCTCTCTCTCTCTAGAGACAGAAGGTTAACGGAGGCCTGAATTTTCAGAAATTTCTCATGCCATTTATAAGAAAATGCAAAGGCCTTTTTTAATGAAACTTGTCACCCGTACATAGTTGGCACACATAAAACTTGACCTAAAACAAAAACAGGCAAAAAAAATAATAATAAATCAAAAACACAAAAAAAACGACCCCCAAACCCTAAATTCAGTTTTGGGCCTCTTGGGCAGGACCTGAAAATAGGGGGTCCCCATTAACCATTAGCAGTCCGTAATGGTGGACAGGAGGCAGAGGTCTGCTTTTGGAACTGCAACTCGGGATATAACAGCTTGGGGAAAGCCCTGGGGTTCCCAGGCCTGCTGATTTTGCTGTTAAAAATATTTTGCAACTTACCCCTGTTCTCGTACTCCCACAACGAGAATGGAAGCGCCCCCGGGAGTACTTTCCTTTCAAAAGTAAGTACGCCCTTGCACGAGCTTTCATTTGATCCTTCCCTGTGGTTTACAGAGACTAGGGGAATGCAGAGGAAATCGCTCCGCTTCGATGAGCTGACAACTAAAGCACGCTACCGCATTCATGCCCCAAAGGTGGACGTACTCGCTCAAAGAAAAAAAAAAAAAAAAAAAGGTGGATGTAGTATGTACTCGATGATCTCAAGCCACGGTGGGAAAAGCACAGGTTTTTTGAAGAACAGTCCCTCCGTGTGTGGACTCGTAAATCCTACTCGAAGTTCTGTGATATAATCCGCAGGTTACCAGATGCTAAGAAGGTCGCTCTGTTGTGGGTAACAATGCACCTAGCCATTCCTACTGCAGAATTGCTTTCCGCGAACAGCCGGCACAGGGATGGATCCCCTTTGCTTAGTACTATGCGGTACTATGCGCTCTTGCAAGTGAGCAAACCCTCCACCTCCGGGCTAACTGTCCCCTGCAGCGAGGGTTCTGGTGGTCCTGGCCACTGTTATGTAAAGGACCTTCCCCCCTCCTAATGACTGACGACTGGCGGCTGACGTATTGCTGCGAAGCAATCTTCGATCAGCCCCTGACTCAAGATTACATGTGTCGGAAACAACGCACGCTGCCATCCTCTTGGCTTTCTGGACAGTCAGGAACAACTGTGTACGCCAGATTAAGAACTCGTCGTCGCTTCTTCACCTCCAAAGATTGGTCGTCCTAAACATCAGGACCAGCATCCAGGCGGACCTCTTGCACCGGAACAAGAACGTACCTATCAGCCCTCAATCCTTTTTGGCTCAAGCATGGGCACCTTTTCCCAATTCTCTTTCCTTTGATTTCAATGACAACCGCTACATTTTGGGGCCCGGCCTTTCTGAGGGATGGCAAGATTTGGGAAGTCCACCTCTTTCCCCTCCTCCTGATGGCCAG